TGAACATTCGACAAAGTACATGATAGTTCTAGAAACGTTGCGTCATAGTAGTCACGTGACTCGCTGACGCAACAGTAAGAAACAATCTGCTGCTTATAATTTTGTACCATGACGTAGTTTATTTTTGTGTACGGTCTATTGTATACGATAATGCACCTGTGTTACAGACACATGTTTGAATTCATTCTTAGAGAAGCATTCAAACTCAAATCTGTGAATTATTAATAGAAAAACTCTAATCAAGTTGTTAAACATTACATGGATAAAAGACGTATAAAAATGAACTATCATATTAAATAGGCGTAAGTATTGGGTTGAGCGATAGACTGAAGATGAGTACAAGAATTGCAATAAAATCATCTTGTATTTCTTTCTAAACCTTTTTTTTTAATGAATGCTAAACTTTCACTATAACTAGACAGTCAGTGGAGTAGGAGTTTCATTATCCATGGAATAACTACAAATTTAATGTTTTTAATGAGTAAATCATGTTAATAGAAAATCAAATGGGAAGTATTTTTGGTTGTATATTTTACATTTCCAGATAAACAGGAAATCAGCTACTTATTTTAGTTTATTAAAATGTCTTTGTGAAGACAGTTGTGTTTTTCATATGTTCCGAAACAATTTGTTTTACCACCTTTACAAATCGTTTATTGAACATTTAGAAGTAAAACCAGACCTTTTCTGAAGTAAAAATAATATAGCAAAATCTTGTTCGTTTTGGCCTCAAAATTACAGGTGTTTGGTAGCATCATTACAAAATAATTAAAGCATAATGGAACACAATGACAAGTAAGTACTTTGAGATTCTTTTTCCATTTCTCCGTTATTTCTAATATTATATGATCAATCAAAGGCAATATATTTTCACACACAACAAAATAATAACTAGGCATTTTTTTAAACTACTTAGTTTTAATATTTCTTTGAAAGGGTTTTAACTTCATATTGGTAATATAACAAACATTATATTAAACATTACTATCTTGATCCCGAGCAAAATATTGAAATTTGAGCTTTTTTACAGTACGATAAAGAATAAACTAAACTTGTATTGTAAGCTTATTAGTGAAAATAAACTTTGACTATATGTCTTTCTTCTATACTTGTAAAATGGTAACAACAACAACAGTTTCAATATCAATCTCTACGTAATTCTAACACGTAACATAAATATCCAAAATTTTCAGTTTTTCAAGCCTACTTTCTGAGTTTTAGTTTACACATAACAGTATTTATCTAATGAAGAACAGCATTTGAGAAAACATGAGCAATTGCAACGTAAATGCCAAAAGTTGGCAGAATATTGGAAAAACCAATAGGCTTAAAAATTAGGAAAACAAATTAATTGTAGTATTGAGTTACAAGAATTTTTCACCACAATGAATAAAGATAGTTCAAACCTAAAACTTCAAATAAATACTGTAAGGCTTTTAAAAGGCTAAAAGACATAAACCTTAATGTACAATTTTACACATGCATATACCACACTTATTTACATTTTGAATTAACAACAATGTTTTAGAAACTGTTCACTGCAACACACACACACTTATATATATAAAGAAAACAAAACCTATACAATTTCTTTTCTGGGTCAAACTAACTTATGTTACCATAAAAATGTATGTTCAATTGAAACAAAAAACACTGAAGACAGAATGAATCTTTCTATATGCCCATTAGTTAATATGTAGAGAAGCATTTGAAGGTATAAATTTTGAAATTAAATAGCACATCAGCATTACACAATGGTTAATAAATCAAATTGACATATTTAGAATGTTTTTAATAAAATCTCGAAGCCCATATAAAAAGTATTAGATATTTTATTAATGATTTTCTTCTAAAAAAAAGGAAGAAAAAAGAAAAAATATATTTTTATATATTTTTTTTGAATTCTTAATTGTTGAATGTACATCTTGCTTTTTTTTAAAGTAATAATCTTTTACAAAATGATCAGTTTAATAACTAAATTAAGTATAAAATTGATAAATCAAAACATTTAACTTCTGCTACAAGCTTAAAAGATGTTCAGATCATTAGCTATGAGTAATATACACGTATGCTTGAAAAGCCGTGTTTCATAATTCATTATAACAATTGAGTGTTTAAAAAAAGTGGAATGATAAAATTCTGAGAGATTTATCAAAGAATGGGGGTAGATCTATTCTAGTTATTAATTATTAGTCCTGATCATCACAAGGGTCTAATGCACAAATTAAAGCTTTCATGAATGCTGCTGCTGCTAAGGCTGAGTAAGGCTGCCATTCCTTGTTTTTTGTTCCATCTTTGTAATCTGATATTCCCCTGATGAAAACATAGTTGTCTTTACGATTTCCATAGATTGACTCAACAACAGCATCGAATTCTGAATCAAAAGCCAGAATTCCTCGCTGATTGGCAAATTCCTGTCGAACAGCATCATCCTTCATCAATGCCCTTCCGGATGCAACACCTCCAAAGTGAATCATGGACTTTCCAGGCTGTCGATAATCCACTGTTCCTTCAGGAGCTTGAGGATGTCCAACTTCAATGATGTCCTTTCCTCCAATGGACATGAAAAGTTTGTCTGTTTCTGGAGATGGTCGGTTAAAGTCAGCTTCTTGACTGGCAAGGGTTTCTGTGGCATGTCTGATGTAGTCTTCCCATGGCCGTTGCTTGGCATCAACTAAACCTTGAGCCCAGAGTTGTTGTGCTATTTCTTGTAAGCAGAGGCTAGGTGGACACCATCTCTTAATGTTATGTTTACTACTGAGTGTTCCATTTGTTGCTTTATCTTCAGAAGAGTTCTTGGTCTTTTCACAATATATGTAGATGAATTTATCATTCTGCCCTTCAGGGGGTGTGGATACTACAACATCACCCAAGCGTACGTGTTTTGAATAATCAGTGTAGTGAGGAACGCCACCTCCAATTCCAACAAGAAAAACATATTCGACTTTCTGAAAGCTCCCTGTAAAAAGAAAGGGAATAATATCTTATTTTTCTTTTATTGTTTAGAGCTAGGCATTATTTTTCTTTCATTTCTTAGATTTTGGTGTTATCATATTTCTAAAGTAGTTGTTTTAGAATGTAAAAGATAAATAATGCTAAAGTATCTTAAACAATTTTTGCTATAAATTTGTTTTTCAGAATATAAATAGTCACAATCTAGTACGACCTGGATGGTCCAGCTTTATCATAAACAAGGTTTCAGTTGTTTATTTTAAGACAATAATCACATAACCAGTTGAAATATGAAGTATTTAATAGGTTCTGCTCTGTTTTCTGATAAAATTGAAGCTTATGTAAATTTTATTAACCAATCTTGAAGTCTCGGGCAAACTTTTAGAAAATGGATATCACGTTGTGAGTATGATAAAGCGTTTGATAACTTGGAGCAGTAAGTGTATCATAATTTTTTTTGTCAGATTTTTTTTCAGAAACCAACTCAACATTTAAAAGTTTTTTTTAAAAAATATGTGGGACAATTAGTGATTTACATCTATGCAATGTGATTAAAGAACTAAGGATAAGCTTTCCAAATTTAAATCAGTAGATAATATCTGAAATTTTCTGATAAAAGAAGAGATCATGAAGCCAAAAGTAGGTCCACCATCACCATCACCATCTAAGGTATGAAATGGATGCTGGAAATGATACTGTTTCTCATTATATGCCAAGCCTTCTTTTTGAGTAATTATGAGATAATTCTCAGAACGTATAATATTAATGATTAAAATGTGAAAGAAAGGCATAAGAAACAAACTGCTAAACCCTTTCAATATTAAGCTTAAAGTATTGCCACGAATTCACTAAGTATCAACTGCTATCAGTTGACTGGAAAGTTAAACTAGTATCTCTCTCCCTCTTTCCATATAAATATATGTGGATTTCCTTGAGGAAACTGACGCACACACACTAAACAATGTGAAAACTAAAGCTGATCTGACTGGTGATAAAACCAAACTGTTGTTAGTCATCAGTGATACCTTGGACAAATGCTTTAAAAGTGACCAAAATGAAGTACATTTTACAGCAAAGAATATGTTTAACCAAATGCATTTGCCTGACCAGAATATTCTTCTTTCTGGTTTAGAAAAATTTCAACAACTCACTGCTCATAAGAGTAGATTTGTACAAAATTCTTGCAGTTTACACCAAGGATATCCTAAGTGAGTGGGTAAAACTGAAGATGTACATCAGGCAAACTGGCCATATATTTGCTGGTATTCATCCTCTGTCTGTGTGGTAGCATATAAACCAGGATGATTGCTGATAGACAAGACTTTAGGAAGACTATGAAACTAATGCATCTTTGTAACATTTACTTCCTATCTACTACAAGACATGACAAGGGTTTCAGCACCAGGAAGAAAATAATTAATTACTGGAGCTGCAGCCTGGACACAACCACCATGACCAACTCATGAGGATAACTATCAGTAACTCTGAAGAATAGTGAAAGTAGTAATAAAACAAAACAGTCAACAGGTAGGGATTTTCTAATCAATAACTTTGCAGACCAGATTTTCATACTCACTGAAAAACATCTTAAGAGAGGGAAGGGAGGGATACAATTTGTTACTAAATTTGCAAGTCATGTCAGATTTTGCTCTAAAAACAGTTGCCCCCTTTTTCTCTTTTCTTTTGTCAATGTGGCTGGACTTTTACAAGTTTGTTCCAAGCCCTGAAACATGGAAAAATTTTCTATTAATAGAGCATTATCCATATTTTAATTTTCCCAGTGGTGTAACAACCACTTTTCAGGTCCCAGTTCAGAATGGTTTTGGGCCCTAATATCTATAAGCGTATATTTACAGTAGCATTGGAATGTATAGAGTGAGTATTAATATAGCATAAAAAAAAACTTAGATTATACTGGGGGGCATCTCAGTTTATTGAACCATCAGAACCAGCAGTTGTTACACCACTGAATTTGCCTACTTCACAACATAAAATATGATAGGCAAAATAATGTACATTCAGATAGAGATAGAATAAAAAACTTACCTAACAAACGAGTTGTTGTGTTACCAGCAGCAATCATAGCTCCTCTGTGATGTCCGACAGCAGGTAACTTTGTGGCTACAACACGATGTGCTCCTATGTTGCCAAGAGTATAAACATTTGATTCTCCTGTGAAAAACAAAATGAAAGAAACACTACATTAGCAACAAAGTGTAAAATGTCAGCTATGACTTAAAATGATAACTATTAAGGACTTTAGAGATTTAACTGAAAACAAATAAACATACACAGACAGTTATAAAAATGCAAAATATATATAAGTGAAAGAATTAAGGTGATAAGTTTTATATTTCATACATGAATCATGAGAGGATTCTCGCACTGAGCTTATTAAAAACATCCAAAGATAGCAAACAATTATGGTTCTTCCTGTCTTTTAGTCAAAAAAATGGATTACATGTAGAAATTTCAAAAAGCAATTTACTCCGTTTATTTGCAGATTTTAATTATTTAAAAGTTATTTTCACAGCAAATATAAACATAGTTCAATATGATGGCTGATCATCTGTTCAAAAAGTCATGAGGACAAATTTTGAAATAATAAATTAAAAAAATTAATCTTTTTTTCCACCATGTATTTCTTGATTAATCACGAAAAAAACCATTTCACACACAAAAAAACAAAACATTAGATAATCTATTAATTGAATTACAAATTCAAAATGGGTAAGACAGCTATGTGTTTTTGCTAACACTAACTTTTGATCAGAACTAAAAATTAACCCAGTAATTAATATAGCTAATTTCATATATTATTCTTACTTATAATGATTAGAATGTATTACTTTAAGTCCATATACAGTATACTCTTATAACAAAGATAATTTGAAAAAAAATATCAACTTAATGTTTTCTTTGACCATGTGTTGTGTGAAAACCTGCACAATATAGAACAAAGGATAAATAACAATACTACACATATAATAAGCTAAAAATGCAAAATAATCTTCATGATAAAATATATATGTAATGTGAAAAAATTAAAACTAATATTCATAAACATTTTAACTAATACTTTTAATGAAACTAACAATAAAGAAATAATACAATATTGTTAATTAATAAACCAAATTTATGCAATCATTGTATATTTTATCAATAGATAGCAGGACCTGAACATTAGCAAAACTAATTTCTGATTTTTAATTATTGATTTCAAAAAAGAATAGTTGACAGGTCTTACTGATGAAGAGAACCATTTAAATTAAGCTTAATTTGACTGTATGCATAATAAGATCTTCAGGAAGTTTCTCTAAAACATGCAAAAACAACAACAGAGGTTTGGAAATATTTGTAATTCATTAATGAAGAGCTCCAGTTGTATTTAATGTTTTGATAATGAATTCACGATTGTCTTTGAAAACTTCTATTAGTTTGTATCTACATAAACAGTATTCTATCAAATGTCAAGTCATATCGAAGTGTAGTTGGATGTAGGTGAAAGAACAAATTTAATAAAAAAATACAATCTGTAAAATAAACTTCCTCTAATGTTTAACTGTAATTTCATTGGTGCATTCTTTACCTTCAGTTTTGTACCTAACATAAGTATCTTTATTTTCTATCATAGCATCCACTGCAACTTTTTCACAGTATTGAGCTGTAATGATTGCAATGGAAGGCTGCTGGGAACTGATGACTGTTGGGACTTGACGCACCATTTTGACTTCTGAAATAAATAAAGACTAAAGCTAGAGATACAGTGATAAGATGCTGGAGTAACTAAAAGCAAACAGAGAGAAAGAAAAATTAAGTAGAGGTAATACCCCCAAAAAAAGGAAGTTCTAGAAGTTGTCACATTCTCTAAATCCAAACTCCAGTGTAGCACTGTATTAAATAAGGACATACTCTACAATATGTACACCATAATTAAAATGCCCTTTGTTTTGTTAATTTTTTTTTACACTATCATCAATCAGAGTGATGTGTTCAAAGGGTGACTGAGAACTTTAAACATGTTCCAATGCAAACAGTTTCAGAAAAAAAATTTTCAATCATGAATTTTGTTTGGCTTTAGTAATTTAATCAAACCAATTGTATATATATTTGTTTAACTGAATGTTTCCATTGGATATGCCTTACTCACACCTCTTATGAATTCACCAAAAAGAAAGTCACAGAGAAAGGGAGCTGGGAAAGGAGACTTTAGTTAGATTAGTTTATCAGTCATGAACCAAAACACTGTACCACCACAATACAGTAATTTTTCAGTTTGAATAATCCCTCCATTTTCAGTATACAAAATTCACTAATGTAACAAGTTGTACCTCCTATTACCTGTATCATTCTGAGTGACTCTTGTGTAGCTTCCATTTTCTAATAACTTGATGATTCCCTTTGACTTCAGCTCATCAAGATGCAGGTGAACTTCTTCTTCAGTACACTGTAATGTTCTAGAAAAATAGAAATGGAGGAATATAAGACTTAACAATTTTTTCTTATTCATATCACAGTATAGTAAGAACATACATCATTTTTACCCATCATATAATTGTGCAATGCTCAAAAATGTTGAGATTTAACATGCATTATTTACATAAATTCACAAAAATATAAAACTTAAAGGAAACATACCACACGTAGTTGCAGTTGTTCAAAAATGTAAATTGACAAGCTTTATTTGTTAAAAGTAGTTTAAGCTATCTTATCTTCACATATTATTTTAATTCCAAAATATAAAAATAAAACAAATGGTTATATCAAGTATTTCACATACTTCATTCTTTGCATTTTTTAGAATTTTTGTACAAAGCTACACAAAGGGCTATCTGTATATAGCTTTCCATAATTTTGAACTAATAAACTAAAGATAGGTAGCTAGTCAACAGCACCCACTGCCAATTTTTGTCGATCCAAATAATGGAATTTTACCATCACTTTTATAATGTACTTATGGCCCTAATGCATGGAACAAGTTTTTTTCAGCATTGAACCACGAAATATAAATCCTCAGATTCACAATCTGGGCACACTAATGATTAGGCCAAACTCAGCCTTTACATGTTACTAAAAACAACAACAAATACTTAACTTACTGTGCAAATTGAATTATCACTAATTAATTAAAATACTACACTAGAAAATATTTATTTCACTGGATTGCTTTCAATTTTAAATTGCACATATTATAGAAAATTTATTTTTTATTTATATTGGAGGAGATGTTAAAATTATAATTTACCAGAGAAATTACAGATGTACTCACTTGGCCATATCAGTTACTGTGAGAGGGTTTGGGTAAGCTGATTCAATCATTTCCAAAACTTTTTCTTGATTAACTCCCACCTTAGCACCAATAGAATTCTCATCCATAGAGACTAAGGTAGAAACAAAATACTGTACACCATCGATAGATTACATTCTTTGAAGAATAATCCAAATAACAGGAAATTATTTTGTAAAATAACTTGATATCCTGAAAAAAATGGTTAAATTCAAAGTATATTTTTTTAAAGAAAATACCATTTAACACGTTAATAGAAGTAGTGAAAGAAGTTTCAAAAACTCCAACTTTTGTACAAACTATAATCTTACTGTTACATCTACAGTAGATAATTATAAAAATATTTTCAACCTTTTTCTTTTTTAACCAATATTGAATATTTCAGATTAGAATTTATTTTTAAAAAAAATATGTAAAAAGAACAAAGGCATTATAATCATAAAAACAAGACTTAACCATGCAGTTATTTTTTTATGTTTGTAAAAATGTACAATGTACAGGTTTCTGAAAACTTTTTAAAAGTTTCAGAAGGTTAGAAACTGACAAGACTGAACTTTCTAAAAACATATGAAGTTTCATGATTTCCACACAGTGAGAGAAACACACAATTATGTGAGTTAACATTATACTCATTAAACTATCTAGATAAAATGCATCTGTACTTAAAAATAAATAAGAGTATTAAAAGAAACAGTCACAAAACTCAAGAAAGTGTAATTCATTTGAGCATTTTGGGAAATATTCCAAGGAGTTCCTTTGCAGCTTCATGCATCCTTTTGTGGCTTCTTCTGTTCTTATATAAATAATAGGTAAACCTTGGAAGCAGAAGAATTGGGGTAAGACACAGAAAGTGAATTAAAACTTGGCCACAAGCCTACAGTGATTGAACAATGTAAAAGCAGTTTCAAAAACCAACTTCAGAAAGGAGAAGAATGTTGTAGAAGAGAAAAATCTATGAATGTTATCTGTTCAGTATGTCAGTTCATCAGCAAGCCAAAACAGTTGCTTGGGGCTTGGATATGTTGTTTTTATAATGTATTTCTAAAAAGAAGAATATTTGTAAAGCCAATTTCTGAAAATTAAACTAATCAATGAAAAACTTCCCAATTTAGAAAAGTAGTGTACCATATGTACGAGTTTTGTTTGTTTTATAACGTAGACACATTGGGCTATCTGCTGTGTCCACACTGGAAAATTGAATTTTAGCACTGTAAGTCCATAAGCTATATTTGTCCCACCAGGGGACTTGTACGAAGGAGTTGGAATAAAAATAAATAGGTTAAGAGCTTTTCTTTACATTAATTTCCTGTACTTTTTTTTTATTATTATTTCAAAATCTTAAAACCAGTTTTCAAAAAAAGACATTTAGATTTATATTAATTGCTCCAGATTTTGTGTTCCAACACATTGACATACAAAAAAGTTAGATTTGTCCATTTTGAGTCTTTTTAGAGGGTCAGAGCTTGCAAAAAAAGCATAATTTTTAGTTTTTGGTCAATTACTTGGCCATATTTTTACTTATTTATATGGGATTCTGTACAAAGATACTTTTCCACAGGACCCATACAAATACATACAAAAATGTAGTTTATGTCCATTTCTGGTCCTTTTAGGGGAGTCAGAATGTCACAAAAAGCATAATTTTAAGGGTTTTGGTCAATTTCTTGGCCATATTTTGATCAATTTATGTGGGATATAGTACAAAGGTACTTTTTTGCAAGTCCCAAACAGATATATAGACAATTTTGGAATTTTTGTGTTTTGCTCAGTTTTTCAGTGAGGAAAGCATAATTTGGGTTTTTTGTGAACTATTCATGTGTATGTCAACCAACTTACATGGGATTTGGTACAGAGATACCTTCATGCAGGTCATGAGCAGCGATATAGAGTTTTCAATTTCTTTGTGTTTTGCACAATTTTTCTGGTGTCAAAATTGGCCATGTTGGGATTGCGAGTCAGAGACAAGTTGCAATCGAGCTTGAATGTTGGCTTCTTTAATTTTGTAATATACTGAATAAATTATAAGAAATTAGTGAACTAATAGTGAGAATTAAAATAGAACCTAACTGTTCAAACTGAAATACTGTATATGGTAATTTGTAAAAACTTCGCTCCATGAGAATAAATTTAGTGACGGAAATTGTTGTATTACCGAAGTGATAATGGAAACATATTAGGTAAGATATGGATATTAAATTTATGTATTAATTCTGGTCACCTGTTAAAGAATTGTTTTGTTTCTCTTAAGTTTGTTCTCTGTCATTGTTTGTTTTGATCACCCACCAATGGCTGCTGTATCAACAAACCTCAGTGGTTAAGATGATTCAAGTATGTTACAATAGTTAAGCCATGCAGTCTGGAGCAGCAGGTTAGGTGGCACACAATAAAAACTAATGAATGTAACCTTTATGATTGGGTGAAGACCGGATAGTTGCTCCAGATTTTTTCTCTAATTCTTCCACTATGAATTTCTGTGAGTCAACAGTCAGCAATATACCATTAGGAAGAGCTAAAAATAAAGATTTGTTTGCTTCTACTTTTTTAAAAAGCTGTAACATAGAAAAATATATATATCCTTAAAAATATGCTAATAACATTTACTCTTTTAAGCTCTGGCTTAAAAGAGAAGATGAAGAAGATTATTAAGTAGAAACAGGTTATTCAGATGTAAGGTCATTTGGAAATTATTGTTCTCAAAAATATAGAAAAACTCAATTGCTTTCAAAATTTTTGTTTTCTGAACTTGTAAACAAAAAGACATTCATTTTCTTAGGTAATTATATCAGTAGTGCAAGAAAAATATCAACTAATGTAACAGATTCTCATCACGAATGTACCCTTTTTTAGTAAATATCTCGTCACTGCTACACAGAAGGAATTGATGCATAAGTGACTACTGTTTTCAAAGTTGCAGCAATATGAAAAAAAAAAAGTTTTGTTAAATACAAGTGATTTTCAGTGCAATAATTTGAATAACATGAGCAATAACCATAAGTAAAATTTCTAGTATTTTTAAAGCATCAGAGGATTCCCTCCAAAAGAAATTTATGTAGTTCTTCTTTATAAATTATCATACCACAACTTAAAAACAAATACATTATCTGAATCACACATACTAAGTTAGCAATATGGCCTGCCTCTAAAAAAAAAATTTAATGACATTGTTGAATTGAAGAACAAATATTGATACACCAAATGTATTCCACATGTTTCCAAAATGTTTTAGCATGTTTAGTAAAAGAGAAAAACAAAATTTCATTTTTTAATAATCTTGAATGAAATAAGAGAAGAAAAGGTTTCTGTACTTATTCAGTTATCAAAGTTTTAGCTTACAATGACATCTGTCTTAAAAGAGAAACATTTCAAACACTTGTAAGGACTCACAGTTTTCGCTAACTATTTATCTGGCAGTAATCACACATCATCGTAGAAAAAGCTGTGCAGGTTGTTTAAAAATGTCTCATGACTAAACTGCTTACAATATATAAATTTACCTCGCAAATAATATACTTACTAGGCCTAGTTGGAGGTTCAGTGATCTCTTCAATCTGCCTAATTTCCACCTCAATCTTTCTAATATTTCGATATTTTAGCTGCATTAGTTTCATGATTCCTTTGATGAAACCCACATAGTCTGTAAGTAAATTCAATTTTGTAATTCACTACATGGAAAGTAAAAGCACTAGAGAAACAGAAGATTACTAAAAATTAACGTATTTCAGTTTTAGTTTTCATAAGATATACATAGTTATAATATAAATAGTAATGATTGCCATTTTCTTTTAGACAGCATATTCAAAATATAGTAGAAACAATTATACTTAATATCAATTACTTTGAATGACAACTTGCCTTTTGGGAAGTGACTGGGGCTTACAAGTTCTTTGAAGAAATCCTGTGCATTTCGCATTTGATCAGGTTCTGACACTTCATTCTTAAACCAAAACTTTAGCTGACGGCTTTCCTATTACACATTAAATTTGAAATTTCAGTCACTGAAGATTAATCTTTGTCAAATATCTTATATTAGGGACAAACTAAAAGTTGTATTCTAGATACACACAAATGTCTAAGCCATTGCTCATAACACTTAATTTTGGAACTAAAATATTGAATGCTTAGTGGATAGAGAATGGGATACAATCCCATTATTTCCTCGAAATATTTATATACTTTCGGATGTCACAATGTTATTCAAAACCATATATGCTATAAAAAATCACAAAGTTACTGTCTGATTTAACTTCACACCTTATAATGTAACAAATTGAATAGCAGATTCAATTTCACCTTTTATAATGCAACAAAGTTATTATTGGTTGATCTAATTTCACCCTTTATAATGTAACAGTCATTGGTTGATCTAATTTTACCCTTTATAATGCAACAAAATTATTGGTTGATCTAATTTCATGCTTTATATCATCAGAAATTTAATAACTTCAAGTTTCATATCTCTAAATTAATAATTTACTTACAGTGTTACTATTTGTGTTAACACAATTGAAAACTTAAAAGGTAATAATATTAATCAAATTTTAAATATTAACTTCTGTGCTATATTTGAAAACTGTCATATATAAAAATAGCAGGGACAACAGACAACCGTAAAGAGAAAAAGTAATCACATTTGACAATTAAAATTTAAACAAATCCTAAATTTGTGCTAGACGTGAAGCACATGAAATATATCATCTAATTATATCAAAGTTATCCATCAAAAAAAAAAGCATAAAGGTGAGTTTAATTATTTATAACCAAGATAGTGCCTTAATATGTTTACACCAAATTAGATTACATAAACAAAAAAAAAACTATGTACAGTACCTGTGTATGTGTGTCATTTGCTGCATTGGTCAAAAAAACTTTGAACTCCAATGTTAGCTGGGCATGAAACTGGTCATCCTCACCTGTAGAAATAGATTATAGTTGAATAGCTGTTACAGTTGTAAATATAATCAAGTTGTGATTTTTTTTTTTCAGATGAACAATAACATTATTAGACAGATCACCTTCTCCTACAGAAGGCATTATTGTTCTATTATTCAACATTTGCTAAGAAAAAACAACACTGAAAGAACATTTTCAAAAAGCCTTGTAAAGTTTATTCCATTTTCAACCTTATACACTTCATATTTCTTTCTTTGATGATACCAGTAAAATCATGAAATAATTCACATTAAATGATAATATTTGCATATTTTATCACAAAATATGTTCACAAATTTCGTGAGGATTATTAGTAGATTGCTAGTAAATTTATAATGAAACTTACTGCTAGAACTTCTGTCTTAATTAATGCACAATTTTCTTTCTAAAAGAAATATCTATTTATTTACTTATATTACAAATAAAAATTTAGCTGCTTTGATAAGTCTCTGAAGAAATTAAACCTTCTATCTTAAAAACTTCAAGAAAAAAAATTTCAGGAATGATTATGCATTTAAAGGAAAGGATGCATGGCTGAGAAAAGAGCTGTTCATTCTAGGCATTATGGGATACATTTTGAAACGCAGTTTCAGGCATCCTTAAGGGGTTACTGAGTGTTATATGGGGTGAGTCATGTGCAGAAGAATGAAAATTGTTCATAATGTTCTTGAGGTATGTAATTTATTCAGCTGGTTTGCACCTGATAAAGAGGGAAAGGTTTTTGGCAAAGTTGTATCAGTGCGATTCTGGGGCTTTTAGTTTTACTGACGATCGGAGATTTTAATACTACTAACTAGTTTCATATATGAAACTATAGATTGTAAACAGTAAAGTAACTGTCAATATAAAGCCTTGAGGAATAACCAATTTCTCTCTCTCTATATATAACTTTTTCTAAAGCAAGAATTGATAATATATACGTTATTTTCGAGTGCCATGTTCCGCATGGAAGCATCCATCGCATTATTGAATGCACCAACCTCGACAAATTCCTTGAGCCAGTGCTTGATTCGGCAATAAAAAACATAACATCGACTTTAGGAACACCTTTAGTATGAGTAGTTTTAAAATTTGCCCTGTTACCAAGAGTACAAATAAAACACCTTTTATCTAACAACTCAAACGTTACCTGATGATGCTTCTTTGTTAATAACAATCCCTTTGTGGGCTCCTCCAGCCACGTGCATAACAGAGCTGTTGTTTTCATCTGTTTGTTGTACTCGCTCAATCTTAATACGAGTGTGACCATGTCCCTTTTTAATTGGAGTCATTACTATCCTCTCTAAAAATACATACAAAGCACATCAGTATTTCGATTTATTCAAACTTTTAATCTATAATGCACTGTCTTATAAGCGAAATTACCCCTACATAAAATAAGAGATTAGGTTTGTTTTTAATTAAGCATAAAGCTACACAATGGGCTATCTGTGCTTCTGCCCATCACGAGTATCGAAACCCGGTGGGAAAGCAGTAAGTTTACGGAGTTACTACGCTAAAATCCGAATTTCGATTCCTCGCGGTGCTCTAAAACAATCAAAAATGGATACCTCGTGGATGCAGATTTGGGATATTTAAAAAAGTTTCATTCGGTTAATATCAGAAGCAAAATGTATGTGGACACAAAGTTAGAAGTGAATTAAGCTTATCAGAAATACGCCTACCTTCCGCAATCGGAAACTAAGGGGGTTTGAATAATGTTTACTCGCAAAAATTTTACAACTAGAATTGTAGTTTCTCCATATTTTGATTTCTTGTAGCTACAAAAAGGTGGGAAACAGGGTAAAAAACGAAATTAATGTTAAAAATAAGCAGTTTAATGATCAACTCATACGACTTTCTATTTTCATCCTTAATCTCTATATTTTATCTTTACCTCCAGCTAAGAAATTATTTTTAGAATCTTTTCTCTTAACAGACATTCGTTATTTAGGGTCGTAAATCTATCAAAGCTGGGGAAGTCGTAAAATTGTCAAAATTGGTAGGGTGGGGAGCGAGGTGAGTGCTTACGTCTTATATTTGGAGATGGACGCCCCCCCCCCCCAACATTCCAACCTCTACTAACTCAGTAATAACGAAGGAACAAAAATGTTAGCTCATCAAAACTTATACTGAATACTTTTACGTATGAAGATTCTGTGTAATCTTCATGCAAAAATTACTCGATCATAAAATTTATAGATGTAAAATTACCCCTAACGCTTAACGATATTCACCTTCGCATGAGCAACGTATACAATCATTACTTGAAATTTATTAGGACGGGCGTTGCCTGTGGTTACTGAGCTTGGACTGATATTTGTGGTTCGCATGCTTAAAACTTTGGATCTGTGGGTGCACTGTGAGAGACGCTTAAATTTCAGTACTGAGAGTGCCAAGAGTTGGCGGTGGGTATTGTTGTTAATCTGCTTTTCCTCTAGTATATAATTAACTGTGAAGAGATTGAAAGATCGGCATTTTATAAAAAATACATTCAGCTTTTTTTATTCACATATCCATATTTATCAGAGAAAAAAAAGGCAGTAATGGAATAAATTATTTCAAACTATTTTAAAAAAGGAGTAATGAAATAAATTATTTCAAACAATTTTAAAAAGGAGTAATGGAATAAATCACTTCAAATTATTTTAAAAAGGAGTAATGGAATAAATTATTTCAAACTATTTTAAAAGGGAGTAATGGAATAAATTATTTTTAAGGAAAAGACTTTCATAACGAAAACTCGTACATTAAAATATTGTATTATACAATACCGATTCTCTTTAAAAAAATCATTCTTTAGCGAGCTAGTTCTGTATCAACTTTCTCTTATAGGCATATATGCTAAGGTACCCATCATTTGTCCGGGTTATGAACTTAAAAATGTGGGAGTGAATGCTATGATTAATAACACAAAAAAGCCTAACTTTCATAAAAATTATTTTTTGGTGGTTAGGGCGCTCGATTCGCAATCTGCGGGTTCGAATCCCCGTTACGTGGAAGCGTTATAGCGTAATGGTCAATCCCACTATTCGTTGGTAAAAGAGTAACCCAAGAGTTGGCGGTGGGTAGTATTGACTAACTACCTTCTTTTAGTCTATCACTGCTAAATTAGGTAGGCTAGCGCAGACAGCCCTCGTGTAGCTTTGCACGAAATTCAGGACAAACCAAATCACACACAATGTACATCCACAGAAAAAAAAAGATCAGTACTACAAACATTTCACAGTATGTACTGAACAACAATAGCAGACAAACAAGCTACTTGATCGCCATCCTGCCATTATTGTACTACGCATAGAACTAACCTGAATACCCAGTTCCAAACTGGGATACGTGGTTTATGATGCCATTAAATTAAAACGACACCATTTCATGACCGTGTTAAGTGCATGACAGTCCCAAACTTAATATGTGTATGAAATTTAACATCCATATCAAGGAGTGAGATCAAAAAGTGAAGGCAAAATTTTGGTAGAAATAAAAAAAAATTAAATACACGATGTCACGACAGGCCTCAAATAAGTCGCTTAAAGTTTTCCTTCAATGACTTTCTAGGCCTTGAGAACAATTCTCTATACATTTAATCATTATGTTATGGGTCAAACTCGTTCGAGAGTTACGACGTAAGCTGGGATAGATTTATATCATAAACTCTTCCTCTCTTTATGTTTATTATAAAGATGAAATTTGAATTCGCAACCTGAACGCCATCTTATGCGACGAATGGACTAAATGAGATCTCATAGGATTTAGGTGTAGTTGTCCTTAATTTTGAACTACCGAACATAGGGAGGGAAACGACTCAAACTAACTCACCTCCAAAAGGGTTTTTGTCTGGCTCTATGAACCGAAAAATGGGATTAATTGTCACTTTTATGAGACGTTCACAGGAAAACGTGTGGAGCGTGTTTGGCAGCATCACGACTTGAACCTTCGACATTTCGATCTGTAGCCCAGTACGCTAACCAGTGAGCCACGCCTTCCTCTATTAAAGTTATACATATCCAGTTTAGTTTTTAAACTGTTCCTGCACTGAGTGAGGAAATTATTACATTGCAAAGTGCAGCTCTATGGTTGTAGATTATACTGTGAGTAAGAATCCCAGCTATATAATCTATCATTTGGGTTAATTGAACATGGCGGTTTATATTATTTATTGTACGATTGTCACAAGTGGGTGAGGAGGCAACCTTACTGCCAAGTCTCTTGATTTCAATTAGTCAGTCAAGCTATTATAAAGAGCAGCTAACGTTAGCTTGTCTTCAGTTTTGATTTGAACATCACCGAGAACACCAGCCAGCAAACCTGCCCATGTCGAAACTGTGTGTGTCTTAACTCAATCCCCTTCAATTTATTTTCAGTCTATGATCTTAGTTTTAATTTGTTGTACACCTGTAGTCGTCGTTTTTGTTGAAGAAAGCCATAGGTAGCGGAAGCACTTTGAATCTGGAAGAGCACAACCCTCGAGGGGCATCTTTCGCATTTTTACTGATTTGTCAAAAAGAAACGCTAACTTACATCGAGCCAGTTAGAATGTTGGCAACTACAAACCGCTTTACATTTTGAGGCTCTACGTGCTGCTTTAGCGACTTTATTAATATATATCTGTAATATTATTGTCTAAAGAGGGGCACTTTTACTATTTTGCAAAAAGTGGGGAAATGTAACCCCAGTGGCTGCCCCTAGTTTGGCCGCGTATGAATAGTGTATCTTGTTATGTCACACTGGGTTTGCTTTAGTCTTAAATCTCACTTTCAAGTCCCTCCGCATCAACAAGTTCACAACTTTTTTGTTATTAGCGCCCCCCCAAGTAACTCAGTGGTAAGTCTCTGGACTTGTAATGTTAAAAATTTGATTTCGATTTGGCAGGGACCAACTGGCCAAATCAGTGGTCGATGCAACTACGGGGCCAGTCCGACAGTCTGAATCAAAGGCTAGCCCGCCGAATTATTAATATAAATTGAAAATAAATTACTTGTTACTTTAGTTTAAAGTTCTGATTTTTAAGCTCTGCATACAATTGTTTCTTAATTCTAATTAAGTCCTGAACACACACCCCCCCACCAAAAAAAAAAAAAATATATCTAGGGCCTGTCCAATAGCAAAATCAACAGGCCACTCCTCTCCCCTCCCCAGTCCGCCTTAGTGGTAGGCACATCACAGATAGCCCATTGTGCAGCTTTTCGCTTAACTACAAACATACAAAAAATTAACATATTCTAAAAAATTACGAGGTTACAAGCTAATACCACTACCAACACACACACACACACGTCATGAATATAATAATGTATCGTTTGGTGAGAAAAATATGTTTCACAAACATTCTTCGTACAAAATATAAAAAAAAATTAATGAATTATATCAGAATATGAGCTGATTTTAGCGTGACTTCAGCGAGAGTTGCTATGACTGCTATACTTGGTTGTCATTAAGTGCATATTTGTGGTGAAAATTTTCATTTTGTATAATATGAAGTTCTTTATTTGTGTATTTCAGCGCAAAACTGTACAATAAGCTTTGTCAACAATGGCGAATGAATCCAGGATTTTAGCACTATAAGTCTTCAAGCATACCGCCAGGGGATATATGAAGTTCTAGAGAAGTTTCTAGACATATCTATTTCGCCAAGTGCTGGTAATCAAGTCAACTACAACTTTCATTCAAATCACTCGCCAGATTAAAAAAAAGAAGTTATTTTAAACTGAGCACTGTATTTTCCTGCTGTTTTTCAGGCAGTAGACCCTATTTTCATTTTTTATGGTCTAAAGCTATGCACACACGGTATTTTCAACATGTTTTACAAAAAACTATCGTATTTCAGCGAAAACCCTCCACTATAGCGCACCCTTCATTCTTTCTCTTTCCTTAAATGGCAGAAACAACCGCAGTCCAACCGTTGTTCATTAAGCGACCTAAGCCTTAAATGGGAAATTCCGTTTCTCTCAATTATTTCGTTGCCGTTTATGTGAGCTTTAGAAAAAAACTAAATCGAATTCTGAGTTTAAAACTTAATCACGCAAACGAGTTAATTCAGTTATACCTTACCTACTTTTTTTTTTTTGTTCCCAAGTGTTTTTATTTAAAAAAAACGTGTTTTGTGCCAAAATCTTTACCGTTAGTGAAATGTCAAAACAATTAGATTAAAACTGTCTCTTCCAAGATTGTTCATTTTTTAACCGTATCTTATAACAAGAACCCAGTAGCACAGCGGTATGTCTGCGGACTTACAACGCTAAAATCCGGGTTTCGATATCCGTGATGGGCAGAGCACAGATAGCCCATTGTGTAGCTTTGTGC